TCCACTCTGCACTTGGTCCTGCGCTTAAGGGGAGGTGTCTAAGTTCTCCCGTTTAAGCTTTTGGCAAATTTCATTGCACTTTTCTTTCAATAAAGTTGTTGCATTCCCAAATATTGTGATTTATTTATTTAATAACTGTTTAAGGAAGGTTGTTCCCAATTAGGGTGGGATGTGAGGAGTCAGGTCTTTGATCTACCAGATCAACTAGGAGGTAAGAAATACCAATAAAAGGTGGCATTAATATAGAACTGTATGTATGAGTATGAAAACTAGATAAATTTGGAGGTTGCCATTAGGTTTCTCCACATACACATATGTAGATATACTTTTAAACCATTGACTTTAAAAATACCGAGTTTGGATTTGGTATCGGGAGTGGGAAAGTTTCTGGAATGCCAGCAGGGAGGAAGTATTAGCGGGTGGGAGTGGTTGTAAGGGAACCTGCTGAAGACAGCTTCAGTATATATAGCTCTTGTTTAAATTCACGTTGAGCTGAATTTTGTCATTCAAATGAAAGTTGCCACTTGATCAGATTCTTTTTTAAAAAGGGTGACTAATTTTTATTAAGTGCCTCCGTATTAGGCATTATGCTATAAAGTTTACAAATTTAGTTCTTGCTTAGAGAATTCAAGCAATTGTTATGATTGTTGCTGAAATGTCAGGATTCCTTAATTTCATGTGCTTACAGATGGGTTTGTACAATTAGTGAGTGAAGCTTTTTGTCTTTTACAGTAGTGACATTTACCCAATCAGGTGCTATCGTTAAGTATCGTAGTCATAACTAGAGGCAAAGGTAGAAGTTGTGGGGAAGCTGGTTTAGTACACGGACTTAGCACTGGTTGGTAGGCACCCCTGAAATCAGAGGCCCATGGAAAGATGAAATGAGGGGTGGTTTTCTGACAAGAACCTCACTCCCTCTGACTTCGACCCTCACCCTCCTACTTTAGGGTATCCATATAAAACTTGTATGTAGAGGAAATTGTGTGTTACTAACAGTTCTAAAATAGCTAAAGTCAACAGTTTTAAGTCCTAGCTTTAGGAATCAAAACTAGAAAATGCCATTTGAGAAACCCATAAATCTTAGGCAAGTCCATTAGTTATGGTGGTTTCTAACTTTGTTGACACGAGTACGTGGATTTCCAGGACTCACCCACGCGAATCAACATTGATCAAGGAGCAACGTTACAAGATTCGCTAGAACTACACCAGCAACTAACCACATCCAGTCCAGTCACTATGTGAGTAGTTTTTAAGTAAGTTTGGTGCTCATTAAAAATGAGTGGTCACAGCATAGGGGGAAAACCTCAATAGCATATTGAAAATGACCACTCTGAGGTGATGGGTGTAGCTCAGTGGCAGAGCTCACGCTTAGTGTGCGTGAGGTCCCAGGTTCAATCTCTAGTACCTTTATTAAAAATAAAAGGAAAAGATTTTTAAAAAGGGAGAAGAATGGCCACTATGCTGGACAGGCTTTGCAAGGTTCCTAGGTCAGTGGTAATAATTTAAAGTCTTCAAATATGAGAGGTTCAGTTGCTAAATAACACTTGAGAACATGAGTCCAGCTCATCTCATTGCTACAGCCCAGCGTGCCCTAAGACACGGCCTGTGTCTGCTGCACAGTCAGAAGAATCTTGGCATTGGAGCCTTAGAGCGTCAGTCTGATAAAGCTGTGTGGGTGTTGTGGCGGTGCGCATGCTCAATGGAGAACTCACAGAAAAATATTTGGCTCCTTCCTGTCAAGTTTAATGAAAGGAATGCTAATTACAGGTGTAAGTACTAGAAAAGTTTTGAAAATTTCTAGATGAGTACAAACATATTAAAATCAAGGACGTAGAAAGTGAAAGCTCCTTACAAGCTTAGTACCAGGAAAAAAAATATTTTTGCCTCTTACTGTTTCTAATTACAGTGTATACATACATTGTGTTTTACAAAGTCAGATAGTCCACTAAATTCCCAACTAATTAACCATATGTCCTTCCCAGTGATTTCCCCCCACCCTGGCTGGGGGAGGTAATTAGGTTTATTTTTTAGAGGAGGTATTCGGGACCCAGGACCTCATGCATGCTAAGCATGCACTCTGCTGCTTGAACTATACCCTCCCCCTTCCTAGTGATTTTAAAGTTTGGTATTTTGGATTTCCCTCCTATGTAGTAAATATATATGTGTACATTTGTGTGTGTATGTGTATATATACACACACACACAAATAGGACAATTGACAACATAGTCTTCTCAGCTTTTTTTTTTTAAACTAGGTAATTAGGGACATCTTTCCATACCAGCATATCAAGATCTCCATCATCCTTTTTCATACTCTAGCTAACATTCCATTGTATAGGTGCTCTATGACTTATTTAACCTGTCCACCAATATTTGTTTCTAGGGTTTTGCTGTTAACAATGCTGTAAAGCACATCGTTATAGACATATCTTTCATATACTAATATTTTGAAAGTATGAAAATACAAAATTTCTATTTAATAAGGCACTTGGGGATAATTAAAAGTTATCAGCCTTAAAATGTTTTTATAATAATGATTACTGTATTTATTATTGTCTCATGATATTTTCGTATCAAATTTTTTGAGTAGCTAATTCATGTGTTTCAGACATATAAAAACAGTGTATAATGAAAAGCCTTCCATTTTTGTCTCCCATCCATCTGCTTCTCCACATCCCCTAGAACATTTTCAGAGTTCTTCTATGCATATACAAGCAACTATTAATTATTAATTCCCCTTTATACAAAAGGTAGCATGCTGGTTTGCAGTCTGTCCTTTACCATGCTTTTTCACTTTATGTGTTTTATAGGTTTGACAAGAGTTGTAATATCCTTTCCTTTTGTATAAAGAAAGAATACCTTTTATGTAATTTTCTCAAGAATAAAGAAAACCATCAGAGCAACGCAATCCCTAGTGGACATTTACAGCACCCTCCATCCAGCATACAAGCATGTCAGGAACAATAGTGATACAGTGATGAGTCAGAAGCGTTTCTACCAACAAGGGGTTCTGAGTCTAGGTAAAGAACAGAGATGCTATACTTGTTCAGTTTCATTGACCAATTGGTAAATCTTAAAGCACCCCAAAATTTGCTTTCACATATGAGTTAATACTATGTAAGGATTCACTTATATAGATGTGACTGTGAATCTTGAATAAACCAGAAGAAAAGTGTGTGGCTCATATTTAGTTAAACTATAAAGTAACTTTATGTTTTATCTGAAAACAACAAAATCCTCGTCAAGTTATAGTGTCCTCATAGAGGTATGTTTAGAGATTGGCAAGTGCCTTTTAATTCGAGGATGTCAGCACTAGTGTGCAGTGCTTATCTCTGCCAGAAGAGGGAGCTACTCGGACAGGCCGGCTTAGTCATGAAGCCTGCAGCGCTCCCAAGCGGCTGTGGTTTACCAGGCAATTCGTGCTTTTACCTTTATTTCTTACCGAGGGATGTTTACTCAACAGTGAAAGTTATTTACGGTTCCCCGAGATGCCTTTTACTTTATCCTTTTCCTGAGAGTTCTGAAGCCACCTCCTTCTGCGTCCCAGCTGGAATGGCTTCAGAGCATCTAATGTAGCTATTGTTGAACGCAGACTCTATTTCTTACATTATCTTATCAGCTCTGACCTTTTAGAATGCTCTTCTCCCTGCTTCTCTTTTATCTGTTGGCCACTTTCTTTTTTCCCATATGCTCCCTGCCATTTTCTGCCTCCTTCCTTGATTCC